CAAAGTGTGGTATTATGACTTTTTCTTCCAGTTGCATGCTTAGAATAATGAAAGCTAATGATTCCAATCTTTAAATTAGTGCTATTACATTACTAGGCATGAGAATAAAGGATTATTTCCCCCTATAAAGGAATGGATTTAGCTGCAGCTATCCCTCTAGTGACGTCACGTTTAGCCACACCCACTGACAGGAAGTAACCTGGCAGGAAGGGAAAATGGGCATTTTTGAAGGCTCATATCTCAGTGAATAATTTTTTTCAGACAATGGGAGTTGGAACACATCATTAGTATGGTCAGGCAATCATATTAAGCAAATAAAAAAAATATCTCAAAAATGCACTGAAGTTACCCTTTAACATATAGTACAATATGTAAATGGAATTATAGATGAGTTTACAGCTATCAAAGGTTGCACTAGCTGCTATGCAACAATTTAGCATAATGTAATTGCATATATAGAGATTCACATGCACACAAGATATTACTATATTAATTATTTATGAGTTCTTAAACTTATTAAAAGGCAGGTTTGTAGTTACTTTTATCTGCTGTCAGCTCAAAATGTCTCTTAAAGTACATTCTACTGTGTGTGTTTATATTATTGTTACCTCACCAGCCACTGTTCATTAGATATAAGTTGTTTACAGTATACAGTGTATCCTTGTATTGAAGCACTTTATTATAGTAGTCATGTGTAATAGGAAAGCCAACTAGTCACTATAACTTGGACTGACACCTATAATACATTTGTCACTGTACAGTGTGATGCATGTAGGTGCATGTAACAACATTTTTAAGCTTGCAAGCAATGAATTTCTATTGTCCTACCACACTTGGTACCTGCTTCTACTGATCATGATCTCAGATAGATTATAGTCTATAATGGATATAATGAATAATGCCGATGCCAATATGACATTAAGCCATGCAGCTTTCATGGGTCTGTAGAAAGGGTTGTACTTGCACATGTACTTTTGATTACTTACTTATCAATATGTTCATAACTTAAAATACAATTTCTCACAGGCATAATCCACTGCCATAATCCACTGACACCAAACTAAATATTTTTTGTCATGGTCTATATCCACTATATGACCATAATATTTAGCACTCTAAAGGCTGAGTCACACTGCAAAATTAACATAAGGTAAGGCTGTATGTTAAAACAGGAAGTGCTATATAAACCAATGGTCACCTTTATGTAATATGAAAATAGAGATAATTTCTATTCTTACATTATGTAAACGGTGGCCATTGGTTTATACAGCACTTCCTGTCTTAACGTATAGCCTTAAGCTAGGTTTACATTCGACGAAACGGTCAAAAAGTGCGTGGGCGATTTGACCTTTTGACGCAAAAACGCTTTGAAGTTGATGCAAAATTGGCCAAATTTCAATTTTGCGTTCAATTACGTTGCGTTTTATGGCGAATGTAAACCAGGCTTTACATACACTAGGCAACTTGTTGCTAGCAACATTTGTGGTTACTTTGATCTTGTAAGCAACATGTTGCCAGAAATAGAACAACCTTCTATTTCTGGCATCATGTTGCCTACAAGATCAAAGCAACCACAGATGTTGCAAGCAACATGTTGCCTAGTGTATGGGGGCCTTTATGTTAATTGTGCAGTGTGAATCAGCCTTTAGGGACTGGATTTCTTAGACTATTATTGTGTCAAAACAGTTGGTAATGTCTTGGTTGCAGTTTATCTAGAGATGACACAACACAGATGAGTATAGGCACTGAGACTTCCTTTCATATGCAATTATATGTGTGCATGTATAGCTGCAATATAGGCTGGTAAGCATGCATAAGCATTAATAACTTCAATAGTCATGACATGCAGTCATATAGATCAAATTACAGCTACTCTGTAGTATTTCATGGCCAAACTGCACATGCATCTATCCATTATTATTAATCGGTCATTCATCATTATTTTTGAGATTATATTGACCAGCTCACAGTGCAAACAGTAACACTTGATAATTTTGATTGATTTTGAATAAATTTTTGATGTAAGCCAAGATAAATAATTAATCAAAAATGTAATATTACAGGTAAGCAAAAATAAACTGTGCATGTCCTATAGTGTTGCATGAGTCCTAAAGTTCTTGGCTTTTAGCTGATGAGCTTCATTACTGCAGATCGCAATAGTAATACAGGTAACTATCAGCATTCCTGACAGCATCATCTGGTTTACTCTTGGCTAAATTCTTGCAATTTGAACGACCATAAACAACATCATCACGTTGGCCATAAGGATGAGACCATTCGTGAAGCAGCGTACCTTCCTTGCTCTCACCAGTCTTGCTACAATATGTTGGATCTCTGTAATAAATGGTACAGAGATACACAGTGGTACCAGTCATGTATGTGTAGGCATAAGAATTGGATCTGCAGCGTGGACCATTATTGTAGTAAATGCATTCTTTGTTTGTTATATCATTTGTTATATTCTGGTACGTTTTTTTAACTGTGGCAGCCCTGCCAGATGTGTATGCACCAAACCATGTAGTATATATATTATTATTGCCAACTCCATCACCAGCTTTACGACTTCCAGCACAGAGCTTCTTATGAGCAGCCAGTGTTGCACTATTCTGAACATCACCATTTTTAAAAGTAGCACTGCCACAGGCTTCTAGGTGGACAGTGTATTCAATTTCTGCATCACCTTCCTCCTTTGGCCTTGAGAGAAGAGAAGTGTCTTCCAAATGAATGTGAACAGATTCACGTACAAACGATTCCCTGAGCTGATCAATAGACATTGCACTCATCTCATTCACTGACAGATACTGTAAAGGTCTACTGTATTTGACAGTGTAGAGACCATCAGTATGAATGCTAAA